AAACTGAAAATAAACCACTTCCAGAAGCTATGTTGTTTACAGCTGGATATGAGCTGTTCCTGGCAGAATACGAATAAGGGGGGCATTGGAATACTGCTTTGGGTCACTTTTTTGTGTGTGTGTTTATTTTCAGTTTCTTTCTTTGACTTTTAACTTTTTTAAAATTCTGGCAACAAATTAAACTCTTTTAAACATCTGAAGAAAACAGTGGGGAAATATCAAGTTTTTCAAAAGGAGCAATTGAGGCACCAGAGTATTGTAAAAGATTATATAAGGTGCACAATTTTCATCCTCTGCAGATAATTTGTTCTTTTCCTTCTTTTTCCCAAAACAGTAAAAAGTATTTGTCAGTTTCTTGTTCTTTTGCAATTTCTCTTTTTAATGTTTTTGAATTTGATTGGCTATATTGCAGTTTTCTGCATTATATTCCCAATGTGACTAGTAAATTAGTTTTATCATAATCCCAAGAATAATCTCAAGAATCCCAACCACCACAAAACATATTATATGCAAAAGGAGCTGCAGAGTTGGTGATCAGAGAGGAGGAATGGAAAAATAATAGATAGCCGTTTTAAAAACAACTTCTAACTCCCTTGTGAGTTGATAATATTCACATTAAACACTGAGTGCCAATGCTTCTTCTGGAAAGAAGTGCCAAATAATCTAGGTCAGACTATTTGTCCATTTGTCCCAGTATGTTCCTTGATCCTTCTACCTAGAAATGTCAGGATTTGACTCCTTATCATAGTTTTGCCTCTTGCTTATTTTCTAATGATGGTGGAAGGTGATTTTATAAAGGAATTTGTGCAAAGGGAGTGGCATATACTCACAGTCTACATCCATGGAACCTTTAATCTAAGCTGTCAACAACATTATTCAGCAGTTGGCATCATGACACAGGTAGAAAAGCTTAACTCCAAGATGGTGACTGCCTATCCTGCCCAAAGTGCTTAAATGACCATTGCAGTAATAGTAAGCTACGCTAGTTTATTGCTTGGCAAGATTGCTCCCGAGTTTTCTACCTAGCTAGGAAAAAATGAGATACAAACTAAATAATCAACAAACAAATAAGAAAGGAACATTGCTGATTACAAGAATGTCATTTTAACAGAATAGTGAGTTAAGAGGAGACCATAGGCCATATACCACGAGCCGCCTGTTTAAAGCTCCATTATGAATTCCAATCAATATTTGCTTCTTTTGCTTAAATTTGTAGCCAAAAAAAAAATCCTGGATAGAAAATTGACACATACCCACATGAACATTGTTGCATTGTGAATCTCTCTGTTCTCCCTCCCCCCCTTTTAATCATCATATTCTACTCGTTCTACCACAATGATGTTCGTTTGGAGCAATTGTTGACCTTCTCATCCCATCCTCTGTGTTATAAATAAACTGGCTTGAAAACATTTCGGCTTACCTATCAGAGAAGTTAGTGATGAGTAGGAACTGACTCTCCTCATCTTGTCAATCGTCTCGAAAGACAAGATATATTCTTCATTTTCAGGGCTGCCCAAGGTGCTGCTGGCACTGCTGCTGGTGCTCAGATTCCCAGGGGAAAATGCAACAGAGTTTCCAGCTGTTGAATAACAATAAGGATGCAGACACTGAACAAAACACTTATGCAAGGACTATGCTCAATAAAGTATGAGTTGCATATGGAAATTTGAAGAAGGGATAGACTAGGTTTTGCAGTAGTATCTATTAGCCACATGCAGAAATCCTAGTGACTGCAGTGTGGCATTAGTTCCATCATTTTGTCACCAAGCTCCATCTGTCTGAGGCTTAGCCTTCTCTAACTAAGTTTTATTTTACAAGTTAACATACCAGCTCTGTCTTGAAAAGTCAAAAGATACTATTTCAGAAGGAGTATCATGTTATCTTCTTGTTTCTCCTTGTCATATAATATATGTGGGTATATGCATAATTTTGTATTTATTTATTTTGTCATGTTTATGTAGTGTATATTGGAGGTGGTGACCCTTTGAGAGCCGTATGCAATGAAATTTCATTTTAATGTATCCTGATCAGTGGACATTTAAAGTGACAATAAAGTTATTCTAACTACGTAACTAATTACGGTAACTAACAGAATGCTTAGTAATGGAGAAACAGAAGATCATACCAATGTTAATTTAAATACTAAAACATATCCGACAGTAGAAATTAGCAAACATATGTAATTTTGTAATGTGGAAATATTTTGGGGATGCATGATTTGGGAGGCCTGCCAGATATATGTTTTCTTTAAAAAAGCGGGAAAAGAGAAGCAGAAAAGATTAAAATAATGGAATTTAGGGAATAATAAGTGGGGGAGGTTTGCTTGTTTCATGTTCCTCCATCAATGAACTGGCTATTATGGTTATATCCTTAAAGCTACATGTGAAAAGAAACTAATAAAAAGAGGGATTTTTTTTCCTTCTCTTTTTTTCAGTGTTGCAGCTACCTGTTTTCCCTGAAAAACTGCCTCTGAGTTGAAGAACCTTTGGGATATGGTAGCATCAGGACTTGCTTCTAGATAAGGGAATATACAAGGTGGTCCTCGAATTATGACCCCACTTGAGCCCAAAATTTCCATTGATAAGCAAAATCGTTGTCAAGTGAGTTTTGCCCCATTTTATGACCTTTCTTGCGGAAGTTGTTCAATGAATCACTGGAGCTGTTAAGTTAGCAACAAAGGTTGTTAAATGAATCTGGCTTCCCATTGACTTTTGCTTGTCAGAAGGTCACAAAAATAATCACATGACCTTGGGACTCTGCAATCAAACCTGTAGTAGCGGCAGCGGGATGCTCAATGCTTCCTACTCAATGCTTCTGCGCATGAGAGAACCGATAGTAAAAAAATTGGAAACTCACCACTGTATTACAAATGTATGCAACTTTGTTATAGGAAGATTTTCCCCCCTCCCCCTTCTCTTTCAGCACTCATTTTGGGAGAAGCACAGGGACTATAGGCGACAGAACAAATATAGCACTTTTGCCAAGGAATTTACCTTTGGTCATGATTTTCAGGTTCCGATCCCATGTCACACTGTTTACAAATAGTAATTAGAGACACTGTTCACTTTTAACTATGCCATTTCTGCTGTAGACCCAAATGCACACATGGTATAAGGTTATATAAATATATATGTTTTAAAAAATGAAACGTTATCTTACATTCTTCATTCAAACTGAGATTCTGCAAAGACTTATTCAAGTTCCTTGCTGTAGTGACTGCTCGGATATTTCCATAGGAGCTGACAGAACGGAGTTTTGGAGTACATGGATTATCTCGGACTGGAGTCAGACTTCCAACCTCTATGGAGGCAATAGGAATATTTATTCCCGCAAAATAGCAAACAAGTATCAGTTTCAAGTAAGTCAATGATAGTAGTCACTGCTGCCCCTTAGGCAAAGGTTTATTATTTATTTATTCAATTTATTTGACACCTGTCTAGTATCGAAATGACTCTGGGTGGCAGTTGGCTTTGCTTTAGATTTTACAGTCCAGAGTTGCCTCGAACCCAGAGATTGGTGGCATATAAATTTAATATATAAATACATAAAAAATCTATCTTCTACACCGGGGGTGTCAAACTCAAGGCCCATGGGACGCTTAGTTCCAGCCCACAAGGCCTCACTGGAAACAGCAAAAGACCAGCCGGTGGTGCCTCTGCCAGTGAAAATGGTGCTCGGTAGGGCCACATGCGCCCCCTGCCCCTGGTTTTGGTCGTGACAGCCTCCTGCAGCCGTCTGCTGTGAAAATGGAGCTCAAGAGGGGGTTGCGCAATCCCCTGAGCTCTGTTTTCGCTGGCAGAGGGATAGCAAAACAAGCTAAAAGCAAAACAAAAGGAGAAATGTTTTCCCTTTTGCATTAGAGCATAAAAGAATGGACAGGAAAGGAGAAAAGGAAAGAGGAAAGGCCAAGAAAAAGAAGGACAGATGGGAAGAGAGTAAGGAAGGAAAAATAAGGAAAGAGGGGAAGAAGAAAGGAGAATGAAGATGGAAGGAAAAAGAAGGGAAGGAAGGAAGGAGATTATGAGAGTGAGGGAGGGTCTGAGGGAAGTCTTACCTTAGGACTTGGCCACCACAGGTGCCCCAGACACAAGTGACGTTGAGCTGGTCATGCTCACCATGACCATGCCTATCCTGCCCCCCAAGGTCAAACACAACCCTGATGCTGCCCTCAATGAAATCAACTTTGACACCCCTGTTCTAGACAATGTACAAATAGGTAACAAATCAGCTTAGATAAACAAACAAATAAACAGTAAACAATGGCTTAAGCAAGGAACTAAAAGAAGAAGAAGAAAACAAGACACCCATCAACACTGACAGGGCAAGCCCCTATGTATCAACTATCTATCTATCTATCTATCTATCTATCTATCTATCTATCTATCTATCTATCTATCTATCTATCTATCTATCTATCTATCTATCNACACTGACAGGGTAAGCCACTAGTATATGAAAATAAGAGCAAACTCCACTCCCTTCTAGTATTGATGATGTTACCTAGTTTGGTAATGAAACCTCTGCAAGAAAACCATCAAGGTCAGAGAGCACCAAGGACCCCACCGTTCAACCCTGAACTGCAAATATTTTCTTTTATTGATAAACACTTTTTGATTAGAGGGACTCAGAGCCTGCCTTATATGAGAAGGCTCCCAGTAGATTTCATTCTAAATCTTGATATGATTTCTATAAATAAGGAATGAAGAATTATAATAGCTGAGTATTTGATCCTTCATACATCAAAAAAATACAAAGCTAAGGGATGGTGTGATTTGGTGGTTCGCCGAACTAAACAGAATCTTAACATCCGGTTCGTATGACCCGGTGCGAATCGGCTGCAGCCCACCACTGGGTCACCTAAATCTAAAGTGAAAATTAATGGCATATTTTCTCATGCCTTTCCGCTGTTTAGAAGAACAAGGCAAGGGTATCTCTTCCATCCAGAGATACCAGAGTAATACAGAGATACCAGAGTAACAAACTCAGTTGAACGTAAATTTGTTTAACTTGCAAATGACATTCTTTTGTTTATTTTTAAACTTTGTGTTATCCAAGTATTTATGCAAAAAATAAGGTGCCTTTAGTAAAATAGCAGGATACTCTATTAATAGGTCCAAAACAGAATGGAGATAAAAATTTGGTTACCCATCCATTTAAGTAATATCAGTTTTTCTGCATGTTTTTCTTTTATTCTTTTTGAAGTTTGTATTAGCTCTTTCTTTTTTTAATTGTAATGTTTAATAAAATTTCGATGAAAATGATGGCTCTGTAATTAGCTGGACCAATTCAAAATTGGTCAAATGGGCCTTACAGTACAGAGAGTTCCAAAACGATTCCTTTTAACAAGAACACGAGAAGTAAATAGCTCTTCTTTGTTGCGAGCTTTTAATTTTTGTTTAATTTTAATTGAGCTATGCATGGCCCTTTATTCAATTTGACAGTTGCAATCAAGACACTTCAAGTGGCTTGCATTTTTCAACCCCTTCAGTCAAAAGGGGTCTGGCTGAATGGTACATAAATACAAGTCAAAGCAGTTGTGGTGCCATTTCTCTCAGATGCCTGGCTTACTGAGAGACTGAATGCTGCTGGTGCCAAATTTGTAAATTGGAGGGTTCAGAAATGAGCTCCTCTTGTTCAGAAAAGCCATACCAATTACAGTCTGAATTAAACTCGCTGGGTAAAGCTTTTCTTCTTTATTTACCCATGTGATGTACACCCTACCTTTCTCTAGGAGCTCAAAGCAAAGAATGTACCACTTCCTCCCCCATTAGCCATTCCCAACATTTTCTGCTACTCTTCCTCCTTTCAAAATTAATCAGGGAGCAGATTAACTAGCAACAGAGAAAACAGATTAACTAGCAGCAGATGATAGGCGGTTGATCTTTAAGTTCTTTCTCTGACCTTGGCAACAAAGAGGAGGTTTATTCAGTTTTAATTTCCTGTTTGAATATACCAAGCCAGGAGGAAGCGACAGTTAAAAAGACTCAGCAGCATTTCTAACAGCACAATGGAGGATCCAGAGCCATCTTGCGATCAGGAACAGTGAGAATTTTCTCTGCTTCCAGCTGATGCTCCTCCTAAATAGGTATATACATGGAAGGCAGCAGGAGGGAAAGGGGGAAATAGGATATATTCTAGTTGCTAGTCTTTATGGCAATCAATGACTGAAAAATTTATGCACCTGAATGAGCAATGTAAAATAAACTTTCTATAAATCCTTCAGCTATCTAAAAATACATCTTCAATCCTATGCTGTTGCATTAATGAGTATGTTCTCTTATATCATGTATATTTAGTAATATGACAGGTAATTAAAAAAGGACTGCAATGTTACAGAGATTAAATGATTAAAACAGTCTGACTGACAAAAATAGTGCCCTGGTTTATCAATCAGATTTCCTTTAAAAAAAAAATGTAAAAAAAAGCAACGGTTGTACAAAAACCGCAGAATGCCATTTTATTATTTAAACCTCAGAGGACAGTTGAAAGAAGGCGAGGGAATTCTTTTATTATAATCTCTTTTTAATATGCAGTTTTTAATTTTTTGTCAATTGTTTTATTTAGTTAACCAACTGAGTAAGATTCCTTTTATTGGAAAATGGCCCCTAAAATTTTATTTGAGAGTTTACTTTCTTAGTGGGGAAAGAGCTTGTGAGGTGATTCAGGAGGAAGTGGGGGGGGGNCTCCTTTTTCCCTGATCAGTATATTGCCTCTTCTACATTTATTTCCATGCAGGAAGTTATATAACCACAGCTGGGAAATCTCAGGTATTTGAGATTCCTTTGAAAGGTAATGAAAGACCAGCAGGAAAGGAAAATAATCTTTCAATATTGCAATATTTTGCGTTAATGTGAACCAACGTGTTTCTCTCATGGCTGAGGAATGAAGAATGAAGAAAGAAAAATACCTGCGCAAGACTTTAATGAATCTGATCCTTAAAAAAAAATCACCATTGAAATTCCTCTTTCACTCATCAGCTGAAGAGAACAGAAGGAATTTCTATCAATTCTAAGATTCATTGCTCTCCCTCTTCCTTATATATTATTTTCATTTAAAAAAAATGGCTCACAGCCCCTTGAGTGATGCATCCAAATTAGCTGCTTGTCAAGCTTGAACTGATGAAAAGAAATACTTGCAGCAGGAGGGGGGAAAAAGCTCTATTTTTGCATTAGGGATTGTAATGATATAAAGGGATGCAAAGACAAAGCGCATGGCAGAAGCATATGTGCTAAAAGTGCATCTCAAGTGACAGCTCTGTGGGACTTCCAGTGAGGGTTCATGATAAATGAGACATCCCTAAAGGAACAAGGATGGCACTGCAGCAGGATCAGAAGCCGGACAGTGAATTCTGGGCAGGAAAATCTCTCTGGAAAAAACAGAGATTGTGAAATCACCCACTTCTACTTTAGACAGGTGCCCCTTGGGGGTAGATGCAGAAACTGACATTTTTGTGGCTGACATACGAGTCTAGGGATTTCAATCAAGCTTACCATCATAATGCAGCCTATATGGACATAAGGTTTGCTGAGTCTCATTTCTTAATCATTTTCTAAATTATTTCTTAACTGCTTTTTAGCTATTGGGAAACTTTGTAATGACAAGGAAACTCTTAGGCAAGTTTCAATCCTTAGCAAAAGAAGTTTTAAATAAAAATTTAAAGATATTTTAATATACAATATATAGCAAAAGGGTGATTAGAATGNTGCTAAGCATGGCAACTGTTAAGTGAATATTTCCCCATTTTATGAATTTTTTGCCATGGTTGTTAAGTGAATCACTACAGTTAAGTGAACCATGTGGTTGTTAGGTAAATCCAGTTTCCCTCATTGACTTGCTTGTTGGAAGCTCCTTAGAAAAGTTGCAAATGACAACCTCAGAACCCCAGGATGCTGCAGTCACTGTAAATATGTGCCAGTTGCCAAGCACCTACAGTTTGAACACGTGACTGTGGGGATGCTTATAAGTGTGAGAACTGGTCATAAATCACGGTTTTTTTTCCAATGCCATCGTAACTTTCCACAGTCATTAAATAGAGGGTTGTAAGTCAAGGGGTTACAAGTACAAATGCAAATTGACAGTTAACTGAACAAATTTATTGAAAATGTCCTATCACAGATTATATGACGATCTCACTATCTGATAAAATTATCTCAAAATGTTGTCCAAAAGAACATCCATTTGCCTATTGTTCACCGAATAACTCCCCACTCCACCCAAATTTACCTTGTAAGCAATGCTGTTCAGCACTTTCATAGCCAGGTCTGACACATCAGGGTATGGATCAGCAGCCAGGTGTAAGAGGACTCTCCAAATTTGGGTATAAATACTATTGAAAGACACCCCTGGAAACAAAGAGGAATAAAGCAAGAATATAAGTCTGAGTGAAAGTCAGTTGCCAAATTGTCATTTTATATGATGACCCCGGGATGTTGACCATATATCAGACTTAATGGTAAATAAACAAAAATAAGACCATACTGCTATTAATATGCAGAGTGCTTTATAACATGTGTATAGGTTGACGTAATTGCTTAACTCACAAAGGTAGGCTTATAGTAGTCTATAATCAATGCATCAATTCATATATAATCACATAAGTATATGAGAAAACCTTGTTTTGTTTTTGATTTAAGGTGACTTTCTGCAATGATATTATATGCAGACCAGATTAGTACAGCTTGGTCAACAGAATGGTGATTTTTAAAAATCTAGGACTGCCATTAGAGGTTAACCACAGTATTGTTTGAACAGCAAATCAATAATTTGAAGGTGGATATAAATTATTGAAGCTCAAATCTGAGAAAGCCACTTTGAATTTTTTTCCCTTTGGATATGTCCCTCTGTTGAAAAATAACAGATTAGATTATACTTCAGGGCATCTAAACAAAATCAGAAGTTATTCTTTCTTACCCCAAGATAATCATGCAAACAAGCCCTAAATAAGGTGATCCTCAATAGCAATCAACAAAGTTCTTATTCTATATGAATTTGCATAATTCAAATTTAAAGCATTTTTATTCCCTCCTGAAGTCATTGCTTGTGATATTGTGTATTTTTAATTTAACTATGCATTCCATATGAAGAGGTAATTTGCCAGCATTCAAATTCATTTGATAATTTGAAGTTCTGCTTTTAACAGAGAAGGAGAAATATTTTCTATCCTCCTTCTTTACATGTTTATTTTAAATGATTCTAGGTGTTTCTTTTCTCTTTTTTTCCAAAAATATAAACAAATGTATCAACTTTACTCACAACTAACTTTTTTTTTTACAGGCGTGCAATTATTTGTGTAACTTTTTCCAGATCTCGAATATGCATTGACCAAATATAGTCAACTAATGGATTTAGACTAAGGCAAACTAATTATACTTTCTTATTTTGATCTTATCACTAAGCCACATTATTAAAAATCCCAGGGGGAAATTTGTAGTAATCCCGCAGTAAATGAAATTAAAATCTAGCAATATCTTGAAAACTAAAACACTTATTATGCCATAAACTTTAGTGAATTATAGTCTATTGTGTCTGATACATTAAACGTAATCCTAAAATACAAATATTTAAGTACCCGGGGAAAGATAAATTGTAAATAGTCAGAAAGAAAATCTTATTACAATGGCCATTTACAATATGGTTTAACAGTAACAGAGCCACTGGATCAACAGGCAATTTGTAACCATGATATATGACTTGGTATGGTCAGTGGAATTGGTAGTATTAAATATTATGCTAATTTTTTTGATAAATAATTGTTCAGGTGTTTATATATTGCCCCAGAATTATCCTCCCCTCCCCTGCAAAAAACTTATTTTTGGCTTCTCTTCATTAAATGATTGCTCATTCAATTTATTTATTTAACACATTTATATGGCCACTGGTCTATAGTGGCCACAATGGAATTCTGGCCACAATGGAATTCTGGCAATCTGTCATATTGTATGGATATTAAAAGTGTCCACAGTAATACCCATAGTGAGAAAACAGGCATTTTCCTCAAAGATTAAACAATTGTGTATAATTACTAAGTGACTAATTTTGATGTCCAGATATGTAAAAGCACTACTGGGTATGATATTTCACATAATGCTTAATTCATTTTTATGCAGAAAAGTTTTGTATCATTCATGAAATTAGGATGGTATTCGGTAGAAATCAGTGGTTTCCAATCTGTGTAATCTGAGAACGGAGGCCATATAATCAGACACCCCAATATACTGTGGGTCCTCACTTACCTTGGTAAAACATTTTATATTATTATAAAAACAAGGAAGAGAAATGTCAAATGAGCTTTTCTATCTGGGCAAGTGGAGTGGGTAGCCTCACGGGATTCATGTGCCATTTCTTGAATTAGAATAAACATCAAAGCGGGCTTTTGAGTACATTTGTTATTTTATGAGATCTTAGATTGTGGCTGGCATCTCATGCTCCTTTCCTACTTGGCACAATCTATGAAGGTCTTTTGTGTGTGTGTCAGACCTGGACTCACTGAAAAACTTTGCTTTTGGTATATGCACTCAGGAAGACACAAACAAGCAGGCAAAATGATGAAAGCCAAGAAGATGGCAGCTGTCAAAGCATCAGGCAGCTTGTGCCATTGGAAGAACATTCTCCACAGCTCCTTTTTCCCTGATCAGTATATTGCCTCTTCTACATTTATTTCCATGCAGGAAGTTATATAACCACAGCTGGGA